TCTTTCCCTGTCAGGAAGCCCTGGGTTCCCTCTCACAAAAACAAAACCAAACTTTTCTAAACACAAACAAAAAACTACAAGGTCCAAGAACTAGAAAGCCTTAATTTTACAGATAGGTAAACTGAGGCCAAAAGAAACAGTCTTGCCTGGGGCACACAGCCCAGTGGCAGCATTGGGGGCCTACAATCTAGGTCTCCCTGCCCCTTTGGGCTTTGCCTGCTGGACCCAGCTTCCTCTTTCTCCAGCCTCTGAACTCCTTTTTCAGGTAGCCCTCAAAGCCTAGCCCAGCAGCTAGGAGGCTAGGAGTCCCATCTCCCAGGCTTCCTGCCTACAGCAAAGGGCAGAGAGCGTGCTAGAGAATTGGAGGGGGCCTCAGTGACCCTCATCTAGCTGTGACCCAACCTTGGGTTCAGGTTAGGAAGAACAAGGCAGGAAGAGGTGCTGGGGCAGGCAGGGACCCCAGGGCTGGGCACCAGGCAATAACCCTCCCCAAGGCCAGAAGCCAGTGGCTCCCCACACTGGAATGACAATGGGAAGTTGTAGGGAACACCTAGGCCGGGCTAGTATCAGCCAAGGCCTTCCTGGTCTGCACTTGGACTGCATGTAGATGTCCTATCTAATGAAAACTTGGCACTGTCCCAAGCTATCTTCCACCCCGTAATGAGCCATTTGTCTATCTGAGCTCCATGAGGGCAGACCCAAAGCTGAGTCATCTCTGTCCTGGTCCAGCAGGTCCAGCCCTACCTTTCTGACTGAGGAGAACTCAACAGACAAGATTAGACATTTACTGGCCCCACTGACAGAGAATAATACCCTGCCTGGGGGGGTCGAAGAACACAACAAAAGATACAGAGTCTCCAGGGTACCAGTCCAGAGTAGGGGACAGGGCTATGACAGTTGCCAGCCAAAGGAACAACCTGCCCTTTCCAGTTCTCTCTAGCATCAGGAACTAAAGCTGGTGACCTCAGGAGAGGCAGGTGGCCAGAGACAGAGCCTGGCCTCTGGAGTCAGAGTCCTGATTTTGCCACGAGCCAGCTGTCCGCTGTCCACCTTGGGCAAGCTACTTACCCACTGTGTGCCTAATCAGGAAAATGGAGACCGTACTTCAAAAATGCACGGTTTGGAGATGGTGCAGGGAAAGGGCCATGCTCAGAAGATCCTTAGAGAGTGGGTGACAGTGCTGTCACCACAAGCACTGAACTGTGTCTCCTAAGAGCCTTCATGTCAGGCTACCTGGCAGCTCAGGTCAGGAGGCAGCCTACCACAGGACTCCTCTACTGGTGAGCAAGTGGCCAAGCTGGGAGCTCAGAGGCAAGGCATTAGTGCCCTCTACACTGATCCTATTCCAGGGCAAAGGTCAGAGGCTGGGGAAGGCTGAGAAAGGTGGCACAACCTGGGGGGATTGGCAGGGGCTGGTGTGGACACTACCCCTGGAACCAGCTTTCTAAGTGGTAGGCATTTGTGCTAGAGGCTCACTTGCCAGTCTATCTTGCCACCTTTTATGGTAACAATTTTTCCTTTTGACCAATAAGAGTGCTACCCCAAGGTCACATAGCTGGCAGGTGCCAAAACTGGGTCCTAAGCCAGGAATAACTGATGGCAAGGCCAGTGCTCCTAGCCACCAGGCCACACTATTCCCTATCAGGCAAAGGGCCTGAGGAGAGTAGGTCCTGGGCAGGCAAGGGGGAATGGGGAGGTGGGCGGGCACTTGTTTGTTCCTATTGGTTCCCGTTGGAAGAGGGAGTGATGAGTTAGCCATTGTCCAGCCTCCACCTTGAGCCATCCTGACTTTCCATCTTACCCAGCTGCCTACTCCAGGATCCACCTTTCTCCTCACCCTAGGTGCCCTGGAGGACAGCAGTGACCCACCACCAGGGTGCTGCCCCACCCAGCTGCCCAGGGCCTGACTCAGAGCACTAGCAGCAGGCAGGCACGAGTTCTCCTGAGTCATAGGCAAGTGGGGAGCTCACCTGGCGTGGAAGGGAGGAGGACAGGCCCCGTGGACTATGGCCCCACCAGCCAGTCCTGAGCAAGTGACTGATACCCTGGGACTCCAGCTGTAGGCATTCCAGCATGCCTCTCAGGGCAAACGGCTCACACTGTGGCAGTTTTGAAAACCCCAGATCCCAGGGCCAGCAGGTGGCATGTTGGTTAAGGATTTTAGACTCCCACATGGCTGACCGCAGTCTGAGTCCCGGACCTGACAGCTTGCTTTCTCACTTTCCCTCTCTCTCTCATTGTCCCTCTCTGGTCAAATTTAAGTAAGTAAGTAAATGAATGAATAAATAAATAAACAAATGGATAAATAAAGCTAAATAAAATCATTCTTTTTTTTAAAAAAAAAAAAAAGAAAGAAAGAAAGAAAGAAAGAAAACCTCAGACCCCATCTTGCAAAAGCACCTTTTTATTCCTGTCTTTTTATCTGTATATAAAAACCACCCTATTTCCCACTCATCCAGCCTCTATGGAGAGAAAGTGATTCAGGGGTCAGCCGGGTGGCATGGTGGTTAAGGCAGCTGGATCACACACAACCAAGTGCATGATTCCAGTCCCAGATCCAGCAGCCTGGAAAATACGCCGGGCGCACATGTGTGCTTACCCAAAATTCTGAGAGGAGAATAGAGAAGAAGTTTTACAGCATGGCCATCCCCCTGCTGGGTGATTTCTCACCCACCCCTCAAGCGCACATACCCTACAGCAAAAACTAGGGAGGGAAAAAGTGATTTGGCTGGGCAGGACCGGAGTAGAGAGACCTCTGCCTGGGCTGCTCCCCATCCCCATAAGTCAGACTTATGGGGTGGCATGGGAGAGGATCAGGAAAGGGATGCTGGGGAGGTGGCATCTGACAGCCATCTTGTTTAAATTGTGACAGGTTGAGAGACAAGGAAGGACCTCAAAAAGCTGTAAGCTCTCAAGGGCAGGAATTGAGTCTTGCTTATTACTTGTTCCTCAGTGTCTAGAACTGAGCTTTAAGAGGTGCTTATGTTTGGGGATGAATAGATGAATGAGCAAATGAACAAATATTTAGGTTAATAATATTCCAGGAAGAAAGGACAACATGAAGTCTTGGAAATGGGAGTCACCTATCAGGGGGACAGAGATGAAGAGAACAGTGGCTCGCATGTATAGAGTGCTTTTTTGTGCCATGTACTAAGGTAAATCCTATAGCGACAACCAATGATTGGGACTTCTAATATTCCCTTTTTTTCTTATTAGAAATAGGTTTTTGCTATAGGGCACATGTGCTCACTAGAAAGACAGAGAGACAGAAAGTGAGGAATCACCCCCTGGGGGTATGACCATACTGCAATCCCTTCTCCTCCATTCTCCTCTTGTGATCTTGGGCATGCACGCACACCTACCCAGCATGAGTTTAAGCCACCGGGTCCAAGACTCAAACCATAGTCGGCTACATGGGGATCCAACAACATAGCCATTATGCCAACTACTGGTCCCTAATATTCCCCTTTTATAATTGAGAACAGGCTAGGGAGGTTCAGACACGGAGGCCCTTGGAACCTTCCCCAAATGACTACACACCACTG